AAAAATAATAATAATTTAAAAAAGAGATTGAGACGCTCCATGGTAACAAAATTTAAATTTCAATGAAGAAGTAATAGTGTTTGACTATCACATTTATTCTATAAAATCTCAGCTTTCCTCCAAAAATATCAAATACACAACCTAAATAAGCATTCTGAATTCTGGTACCTGTGATCCACGCAAAGGGAAAGAAACAAGAAACACTTGTGTGTCTTCTAAGTGGCCAACACCTTGCTAGGCTGTAATGTGTGTGTGCTCTCATTTAACTCTCATATTTAGTCAAAGTAGATATTATTGATGAATTATGTTAGCAAACAATGAACCAAGACTTGAAATGGGGATGGCGGTGAATGCCTTTAGTCCCAGCACTTGGAAGGCAGAGGCAAGCAAATTTCTGTGAGGTCAAGGCCAGTCTTTACATGGTGAGTTCTAGGACAGCCAGAGAAAAAAAAAAAAAAAAAAAAAAAAAAAAAGAAAAAAAAGAAAAAGATAAAGCACAAGCACAGTTTTAAGAATCTTCATTTTATAATAACTAATAAGTACAGAATTATACATAGCTTCCTTCATTGAAGTATCATAAGACTACATAAGTTTTAAAAATGTATTTTAAAGATTTTTATTTATTTATCTTATGTGCACATGTATGTGCATGCCTGTGTCTAAGTGCACCATGTATGCACAATGGCCATGGAGACCAGAAGAGGGCATTAGATCCCCTGGAACTGGAGGTTAAGGACAGTTGTTAGCTGCCACGTGGGTGTTGGGAACCAAGCTCTGGTCCTCTTTAAGAGCAGCCAGTGCTCTTACCTGCTGAATCATCTCTCCAGCCCCCTATAAAGATTTTTTATCCAGAGAGAAAATAACTTTCTCCTAAAATATTTTCCTTTAGTTGGTCTTGGATAAAACCTATAACCTGAATTGCTGAAGAAACTTCAGGACTCCCAGGCACATTTAAATATTCTTTTTTAAAAAAAATTTTATGTGTATGAGTGTATTGCCTGCATGTGTGTAAGTGCACTCATGTCATGTATGGTGTCAATCCCGTGGAACTGCAGCTACAGATGGTTGTTAACCAGCTATCAAACCCGGGTCCTCTGCAAGAGCAGTCAGTGCTCTTAACCACAGAGTCATCTCTCTAGCCCCACATTTAAATATTCTTAGATGGGAATTTCTTCCTAAGATACATGCTCCCAGGAAGACAGAATGGGAGGCATAAATACCAAGTAAACTCTGAATGACTTAATTAGATAATCTATAAACCAAAAAAGTACCTTTGAGATGAGGATGTAAAATGGAAAGAAAACCAAGAGCCTCATAATTGTGTATTCATTTTTAATATTCAAAAGAGTAGGTTCACTACAGTTAACTACACTAAAATGCTAGGATATGGCACTCAGGGAAAAGTAACTGAAAAGTTCCACCTAACTTCCATAATGATGAGGGGCAAAGAATCACTGAGAATGAAGCATTACCAGGGAGGATCATTTGAAATGGCAGCTGGTACAGAAAATTGAGAGGCCAGATTTAGAATCAAATGAAAAATACCATGTTTCGGGGCTACTTCTAATGAACTTAAATGGAACCTAGAAAAGAAAAACTAAGTTCCAAAGCTAATGGGACCAGAGGCCTGGCCATCTTTTATACTTTACATTTTACACTTAGCAGGTGAAATTGAATTCCTACTTAAAAATAAAAACTCTGTTGGGGGCCAGGCCTTTAATCCTAGCACTCAGAGGCAGGCATATCTCTGTGAGGTCGAGGCCAGCCTGGACCACACGGTGAGTTCGAGGCCAGCCTGGACCACACGGTGAGTTCCAGGCCAGTTGGGGTTACAGGGGAACCTGTCTCCAACAAAACAAATCAAAACAAACCAACAAACCAACCTCTGTTGGGAGGCAGAGGAAGGTGATCTCGTCTGTGAGTTTGAGGACAGCTGGTCTACATGCTGAACGTGAGGCCTTAACATTCACCAAAGGCTGCATTTTCTGAGTGATAAAAGTGGGAGCACGAGAAAAAAGGAGAGCAAAGCAGGGTGGGGGAGAAACAGAAAAGAGGTGGTGACAGAAGGAAGCCAGAGCCACTCTGCCTCCCAGGGGCACACATTGCTTAGTTCTGAATGGGTCTTGACTTCCTCATTATGCTACTTAATACCTTCACAAGACAGAAAAATTCTACACAAAGGATAAGCCATTTCCTCTGTCAACACTCATATTTACTGCCGTGCTGTCACACGGTACAATAATGTCTATTACTCATACAGGGAAATCCTGTAGCACATTAGCTTAAAATTATGACAACTCGGCAACACTTAAGGCTTACTGAATTGGCTTAAATCAGTGTTTCCTAAATTAGCCTAAGAATATAAATCACCTGGAGTACTTGCTGAATTTCCCCCACCCCCTCAGGCCTTGGAAAAAGATTAGGGTAAGGGAGATCTATATTTCTGAATAAGAATCTGAGGTAATTCTTATAACTAGGTAGTTGGGGAAATACAGCCAAAACAAACTATGGCTTAAAAACATATTCCCCTGCTAGATGAGAAGCCAATTGTTATTATTACATAATAATCAAATGTATTCTTATTCACCAACGTACTTGCTATTCTTGGTGTGACCTCCCCATTGCTTGAGTTGGCTTCTTCTGGTTCATCTTACCACTGAGGTCATCATCAGTCCTGCTTTTATCTGCAGTCCTCTTATGAGCCTTTACCAAATGGGGCCCCAGCCTAGGAGCATACTATTTTCATTTTGCCACATGGTCCCTATGCACACTCACTAGCAAGCAACCAGTCAGTGCATATTTCAATACAGGCTTGCTATCAACACACCTGAAATCATTCCACGTGCAGATGCCAGGTCACTGTTAAACACAGAAGACACTCCCACCTGCACAGGCTATTGCCCACTATAAAACCATCTAGAGCAAGGCTGGGGAGCTAGTCCTGGTGGTAAAGTAACTGCCTTGCAGCCATGAGAACCCGAGTTTGATCCCAGAACTAAAACAAAACAAAACAAAACAAAAAAACACCACCAGGTTTGGTGGCACATGCTTGTAATCCATGCACTGAGGAAGCACATACAGGTGATTCTCTGGGGCCAGGTAGCCTGCCTAGCAGCTTTCCTTAGCTAGTTCCAGCTACTGGGAGACTTACGCAAAAAAAAAAAAAAAAAAAAAAAAAAAAAAAAAGAACAAGTGGATGGTGACCAAGAAACAACAGAAAAGCCATCTGAAGTTAGCCATCAGCATGCTTGTTTAGGAGCACAGGGGCTGGAGAGATAGACGGCTCAGCAGTTAAGAGCACTGGGTGTTCTTGCAGAGGGCCTAGATTTGATTCCTAGCATCCACATGGTGGCTGCCCTCTTCTGATTTCCTCAGGCATTGCATGACACAGGTGCACTTACATACATGGAAGCAAAACACTCATGCACATAAAATAAAAATAAATATTTTAAATAAGGGCACCATACACTCTTCTCCATGTAATTATAAATCAGTCTAAAACAGGTTTGGATTTCCTTCAGTCTCTTCAACAACACAGCTATATCAGACTGTTCTTTCCCTGGGTATTGTGTACAGCTTTAAAATTAACAGGGAAGGAGTTAAGTTCTACCATATGATACCTCTCCCTCTCTATGGCTTCATAAGCTTCTTGTACATTTTGTTCACTTACCCCTACAGAAAAATTCATTAAAAATTGCCCATCTAGGCCGCACATAGTGGTGCACGCCTTTAATCCCAGCACTTGAGAGGCAAAGGCAGGTGATCTCTGTGAGTTCAAGGCCAGCCTGGTCTATACAGTGAGTTCCAGGACAGCTGGGGCTACAAGGGAGACACTGTCTCAAAAAGATACCCCACCCCCCAAATGCCTACCTGGGGCCATTAAGATGGCTTAGCAGCTAGAGAATCAATTCCATAAAGCTGTCTTTTGACAGTACACGTGCTGTGGCATGCACACATATAATGCTTTAAAAATTGCCTGTATGATCTAGCATAAACCTGCTTTCATTTCAGCTAGGCTGCAGCATGATAGATAGAGCATACACTGGAGCTGAGCTGGTTCTTCACCCCACCATTCTGAGTACTACCCTTGAGCTACCCTTGAGCTGGGATTCTTGGACACATGCTTCTTTTCTTTTTGGTGCTGATGACTGAATCCAGGACTATGTGCATGCTACCACTTAATCACACATCTAGCTCAGAAACTATACTTCTTTTTAAGAAAAAAGTTATTTTATGTGTATGAGAATTTCATCTGCATGTAGTAAGTGCACTATGGTACATGCAATGTTCACAGAATCCTGGAGAGGATGCCAAATCATCTGTATCTGGAGTTACAGACAGTTGTTAGCCACCATGTGGATACTGGGAAGGCAATTCAGGTCTCCAGCAAGAGTAGCCAGTGCTTTTAACCACTGAACCAACTCTCTAGCCCCAGAAACCATACTTCTTGCTGATAGTTAATGACTTATTTGAAATAACTGCCCCAGCAATGGGCATTTCTGAGTAGGACTCTGAATCAAACTCATTTCTCTTTAATCTGATTAATTCCAGATCTACAGGAGACTTTTCCCTTTGAAAATATCTGTTCAAGGGGCTGGAGAGATGGCTCAGCAGTAAAGAGCACTGGCTGTTCTAGCAGAAGACCCAGGTTCAAATCCCAGCACCCACATGTCTGTTCAAAATGTCTGTTCAGAAAGGCATGGTGGGCATGCCTTTAATTCCAACTCTCAGGAGGCAGAGGCAGGCAGATCTCTTGTGAGTTCAAGGCCAGCCTGGTCTCCATAGTGAGTTGTGGGCCAGCTGGGGCAAAAGGGGGACCCTTTTTCAAAAAAACATTAAAAAAAAAAAAAAAAAAAAAGTCTGTTCAAAAGCTTACGATTTCTTTTTTTATTTTTAAAAATAAAAAATTTACTTATTATTTTGATTTTATGTGTATGCATGTACTGCCTGCATGTATGGAAGCACCCGTGTCATGTAATGCCCGTGGAGGTCAGAAGACAGCATTGAATCCCCTAGAACTGGAGTTACGGACAGCTATTAGCTGCCATGTGGGTGCTGGGATTCGAACCCAGGTCTTCTGCAAGAACATTCAGTGTTCTTAACCACTGAACCATCTCTCCAGCTCTCTTTTTTTATTTTTATAAAATTATTTATTATTTTATGTGTATGAGTGTATTGCCTATGTGTATGTAAGGGTACCCATGTCGTGCAGTGCCTGCAAAGAACAGAAGAGGGTGTCAGATCCCCTGGAACAGGAGTTACAGAGGATTTGAACCAGGGTCTTCTGTAAGAACAGTCAGTTCTCTTGAGCTCTGAGTCATCTCTCTAGAACATCCCCACACCCAGCTCCCCTTTTAAAAATGTGTATGAGTGTATTGCCTGCCATGTGTGTAAATATACCTGTGTTGCCACCTGGTCATGAAGGGGGAGGGGCACATGGCCCATCCCTCCTTGAGGATTTATTAGCAGTTAATGATTAACAGGAAGGGGAGGGAGAGACATTTTCTTCTCTGATATAGTAACTGATAAGGTGCCATGCTCCTCTGAACAAATTCTCACCCACTTTCCTGTAAAAACCCGAATCAAACTTTCAGTCATCACAAATAAAATAAATAAAGTGAAAGTAGAATGGGCACTAATTGAGGAGAGGACAAGCAATTAGTGGGAATGGGAGGAGGAAAAGAAAAGGTGATGGGGATGAACATGATCAAAACACATCATGTACATGTATGAAAACACCATAATAAAACACTTTATGTATAATCAATACATAATAAAAACATTTTTTGAAACTTGGGCTTAACTTTAGAATCACGATTTATCATATTTTATGCTTACATAAAGATTACTGGGACTAGTGACCATACCCAACCTGGATCATACTGCTTTGCTCCAACTGTACCTACCTCTACCTACATTCCATGTCAGATGTTCTTTGGCTTTGTTTCCTTCTTTTATCTTGCAGTGTTGAGGATCAAACTGAGAGCCTCATATATTCCAGGCAAGTTATTCTACTTGAGTCATAACCCCAGCCTGGTACCTGGTTTTAAAAGGGTCTCTTAACACTCAAAATTAAACCTTTTGAATGACCTTAAAATGAATCTTAAGATGACAAAGTTTACGTTGGGCTACAGAGTCCCTAGTTGGAAAAGGAGGCAGAAAAATAAGGACTACAGAGTTGCTATAAAAGTTTGCCTTCAGTAGGCTTCAACTCTAAAGTGCATAGAAATTTGAAGTATAAGTTTGCAGTGTCCATGAGAACAAAGGTAACCTGTACTGCTCCCACAGAAGACCACTCACAGGCCTCTGGCTAGGTTTGAATCCCTGTTGCCCTTGAGCATGCTACTTCATCTCTCTGGATTTCAATGTTTTGAGTACAACCAGATACTGATGTACATTGATGAAACAAAATTCTCTAAATACAGGATTCATAGCTGCATGCAGAAACTTCATTTTATTTATTGTTACTAATACCGAGCTTCCTTTCCTCCTCCCCCCTCTGCCTGCCTGGATAGGTTCTTTCCTGCACAACCACTATCTTAAATGGGACTCATTTCCTCAGAGACTCTCTTGGGTATGTTTATCATGTTTTAAAGTTGGGTGACTTGGGTGTCCAAAAAAAAGAAAAAAAGGTACAGAACATTTTCAAGGTAAGACTTTGTATGCTCTTCTGGGTTCTTGGCTTTTAGCCACTGGGAAAGAAAAATCGAGAAGGAAGAACTTCTGGGAACTCTTGAGTTCTGACCTAGGAAGCAAGAGATTTGGTCTGACAAAAATGAAGGTCAGTGATGAGGTAGAGCTGGAGAAATGGGTCAGCGGTTAAGAACACTGGCTGCTCTCACAGAGGACCCGGGTTTGGTTCCCAATATTCACATGGTGGCTAACAACTGTCCTTAGCACCAGTTCCAGGAGACCCCACATCCTCTTTTGACCTCTGAGGGCACTGCATGACATGGGTACACTTACATACATGCAGGGAAAACACTTATACACATAAAATAAAAATAATAAAATATTCAGAAAAACAAAGGTTAACGACATATATAGTACAGTGGAAACGGATTATTGCTCAATATACAACCAAGTTTTAATGTTTCTTTGTGAAAGTTCTTTATAGAAGAAAAATTAAGCACACTACAATAAGAATGACACTTTTTTAAAAGGATGTGCTTAAGGCTGGCCGGGGGTCCTTTGAAGGCATTCTCCCAATGTCTTTAATGACGCCCATGCATATTGTCAAGACTTCCTGTTAAGACTATCAGCAACAGAGCAAGGGTAGTGGACTAAGTACCTTGAAAAGATGCAGCATTCTAGGATTCTAAAAATTGCTGTTAAAAGATAACATTATTATGCAAACAGTATCGTCATATAAAACAAGGAGGGAAGATGGCAATGACTGGTGTTAGTAATGTCAGGAGTGACACACTTTACATCATTTACAAGACTGTTTCACGTACCACTTCTGTAGATGTTTCTGCATGTTCAGAAGTAACATGTTCTTGAAGAGATGTTTCCGTATAGCCCATTTTTCCACAGTAGGGACAAGTAAAAGACTGTGGCTGCTCTACAGAGAAAGCTTCCCCACCATAGTACAAATCTGAAAAATAAAGTGAAACTGTATTGAGGGATAATACCCACAATTCTTTAAATGTACAAAAATACAGTCTCAGATATAATGTAAAGATCTGTCTGAAATCCCTTGTTAATAACATTCTCTGTCAAGTGAAGTGTTTTGTTTCTGTTTTTTTGGGTTTTTTTTTTTTTTTTGATGTTGTTTGGATTTTAAGACAAGGTCTCTCCTATAGTCCCACTGCAGGGCTGGCCTTCCTTGATCTCAGCAATCTGCCTGCCTCAGTCTCCCAGTTGTTGGGATTAAAGGCATGCTCCACACCTGGCTTTATTTTGTTTTGAATTAACTTTTTGCTGTTTTTTATCAAGAACATTTTTTTTTGAGACAGGGTCTCCCTATAGTCCCAGCTGGCCTGGAACTCACTATGTAGACCAGGCTGGCCTGGAACTCACAAAGATCCACCTGCCTCTGCCTCCCAAGGGCTGGGATTAAAGGTGTGTGCCACCATGTCTGGCTCAAGAACATTTTTTA